GCAGTGCTTGGGCAGGCAGGGCGGGCGCCCAGCCAACGCGTGAGACGGGGGACAGCGGAACTGCGGGAGCGAAGCCAGTTCCCAGCCTGCCAGGGTCTCCGGCCTGGTCTGCCCATGGTGGCTCCCGGCAGGGGACGGCCTCGGGGGAACACAGGCCACTCCGCTCCTCCGCGCTTCCCTGCGGTGAAGGCAAATGGCCCCCAGGAGGGTGCAGGCAGCTGCCGCGGCAGGAGAGCAGCACCTGGCCCTCCCCTCCTCTGCCTGCCTGTCCTGAGCGAGGGACCTCAGGCCACAAAAAATGGCTTGGCAGGCTGCATAGCAGCCTACGGGCCGTATGTTGGACAAGCCTGCCCTAGACAGAATATTCAGCCAACTATTTGGGAGGACTCCACTTTTGCTGTGGTCTTCTCGTAGAGCCTGACTCAGTGAGGGGGTCAGCAGATGATGGCCCTGTCAGCCTATCTGGAGACTCAACAGTGATGCTTCCTTCTGACAGCAATGGCAAAGGGTTTGCATTGATAGAAACAGGTAGGCACTTCCCCAATGAATCCATGTCTGTCAGTGGTGGATTGGTGCTTGGAGATTGCTCAGGTGAAGGGGTATCAGTAGGAGAATGCCCACGCAGCTGGTCCACATGATGTCTCCAAACTTGTCTGTGATTAGTCTAGACTGTATGATACGGGTCCTTTGACACTTACAATTTTAGACTGAACCCGCTGTGGGCCTGTCCCTTAGTTCTGAGCAAACACAGTCTCTTGTGGAACAAAAAGGCGTAAGGTACCAGATGCCAATGCGGAGTCCAATTTCTTTTCTTTCCGAAACTGCATGTCTCTCACAAGGTCTGGGTTAACACGGTCAAGGCATGTCTTGAGATGACCCCCCATAACAAACTCTGCTGGGACCCTGTTTTAGGTCAAGGAATTTCAGTTGAGCAAACAGAAATATGGCCAGTCTATCTCCTACAACAGTCCTTTTCAGTGCATCTTTTGTAGTCTGCACCATTGGCTCAGCTTGCCCATTGGCCTGTGGCCTGCGAGGTGCAATGGTAACAGTTCAAATTAATTTGTGGCTGGGAAAACCTTGGAACTCAGCTGAGGTGAATGCACTGCCATTATCAGAAACGATAGTGTTGGGCACCGCATGGGTTGCAAACAGCTGACAGAGAGCTGTTATAGTGGCAGTTGATGTAAGAGTTGAGACAGTAATCACTTCAAGCCATTTTGAGTACAAGTCAACAACAATTAAGGAATTCTTACCTTGAAAAGGGCCAGCAAAAGCAATGTGGATGCATGACCAGGGTTCCTTTGTCATTTCCCAAGAGAATACTGGTGCCTTCAGTATATTATGATGGGTTGCTTGACAAATACTGCACTCCCTCACAACACTTTCTACGTCATTGTCCATACCTGGCTACCAAACATAACTTCTAGCCAGTGCTTTCATCCTCACAATGCCTGGGTGTGCTGCATGCAGTGTTGTCAATATGATTTGGCATCCTGCTTTTAGAATTATGACACAATTTCCCCACATGAGACACCCCTTGTGTGCAGACAGCTCATAGTGACATGATGAAAGTGGACTGAATTCCTCAGCCAATTTGTCTGCAGGCCAGCCCCTCCACACCCAGTTGAGGACATGGGCAAGGATAGGGTTTTTTGCAGTCATCCTTGCAATCTGATCAGCCTGGAGAGGGTCTTCTGACATGGATTCCAGCATGAGAACTTCCACTGGTGGAGGGGTAACACAATCAGGTATTTGTAGTGGTAGGCAGCTCAGTGCATTAGCATTTGCAATCGTTTTCCCAGGTTTATACACGTGTATAGTCACATGCGTTTAGCATGATGCTCCAGCATTGCATACGAGGAGACAAAATAGGAGGAGTTGGTATGACTGTAGTAAAAATTCCAAGAAGGTGTTTGTGGGCTGTTCAGATTTTGAATTTGCGGCCATAAATGTAATTGTGAATTTTTTTAAACTCCTGCAATGATTGCCAATGCTTTTTTATCAATCTGTGCATAATTCCTCTCAGTTGAAGTCATTGTTCTTGAGTAAAAAGCAACAGGTACATACATCCATGCCATCAGGCAACGTGTGACTGAGGACAGCGCCAACGCCAAACAGTGAGGCATCACAAGTAATGGACAGTGGCTTCTGCTCATCATAGTGAAAAGGACAGAATCTGATGTCAGCAACTTCTTGATGCCCTGGAAGGCTTTGTTGTGCTGGCAAATCCACTTCCACTGAGTTCCTTTATCCAGTAAGTAATGAAGGGGCTCTGCTATGGTCGCTTTGTCTTTCAAGATGTGATAAAAGTTGAGAAGTCCTAAGAATGCTTGAAGAACCTGTCTACATTTTGGTATAGGGGCATCATGTATTGCTTTTACCTTGTCTTCAGCTGGGTGAATGCCAGAGGCATCAATTTGATATCCCAGAAAGTTGATACTGAGAACTCCCAGTTGACATTTCTCTCTTTTTACTCTGATACCTGCTTTATCGAATCTCTGTAAAACTTCTCTGAGTCTCTCGGTGAGTTTCTCTCTAGATAGCCCCATGATAAACACATTATCAAAGTATGGAACAACCCCGGTAATTCCTGCTAGCATTTTCTCCATGAACCGCTGGAAAATTCCTGGTGCCACAGAAATTCCAAACTGGAGGCGCCTGACACGGGATACTCCCCGGTGTGTAATTATTGTTTGGGCCTCAGCAGCCTTGTCATCCGCTATCAATTGCTGATAGGCTTGAGTGAGGTCCAGTTTGGGAAAAACCTTCCCTCCTGCAAAAACAGATAGTAACTGGTTAATGGCAGGCACTGAGTGCGGATCATGCTTAAGTGCTTTATTAACAGTGCACGTGTAATCCCCACAGATGCGAACA